GCAAACGCATGAGTTTCAGGTCTGCTCACTGTGTTTGTCTTCTCGTTTGGATTTCTGGATTTGTCATCGCCTTCAGCCCATTGWTTGCCACAAGCTACTTTAAAGATCAAGCCACTGGGTTCTCATTCTACGGACGGTCGACCGTTTGCATTCCTTTTCAGCTTTCCTYAGAACGACCTGCAGGATGGGAGTACTCCGTCGCCATGTTCATGGCCTTCAACGGTGCTGCCTTTTTATTTATCCTCGTTGCTTATGTAGCAATATTCATTAAAGTCCAGCGCTCCGCCAAAAGAGTCCAGTCATCGAGAGAACCATCGTCACTGGGGACAAGAATTTTGTTCAWTGTCCTGACAGATTTTTGCTGCTGGATGCCAGTCATCGTGCTTGGTATTCTATCGCTTACTGGAAAGTTTAACGACCCAACAGGACAAGTGTATGCTGTGATTGCTGTATTKGTTCTACCAGTGAATTCCTCCATCAATCCTGTCTTATATACGTTTGCTACGCCACAAGCAAAGAAATTATACCAACAAATGATGCAAGGACTACGAAACAAATTCCAGGTTTGTAGTGTTACTGTTAGCCTCAAAATTCCTCTTCTTTTTTCATATACTTTTTTTCTATTTTGTTTCTTGCCGTTTTGTTTCTGATGCCGTGTAGATCTTTTGATGAATGCAATATTAAAACTGTGATTATACCGTTGTGTGACGCCAATCTGACGATATAATTATATGTTATATATAATTTAATTTTACTAAACTTCAACAGAAAGTGTCATGGCCATGGAAGCGAAACAGAGCACCCAACGAGAATCCTGTCGACGGAGATGAAGCAGACGAAATGCAAAATGCTCTTGAATTAAGAGAGATTCGGTGAACSTGTGTAATAGCTATATTTCTTGAGACGTCCACCATTTTGACTGTACCTAGCCAAGAATAGYGGTAAGCACTGATATGGCGTTTATCGAGAAAACTATGCAACTTTACTGTTGGTGTCATGTAGCCAATTTATATATCAATAGATAATTAAAATTGACCAATCCAGCAGCACAATAGAATAATTTACACTTTTCAAACGTGACTGAAGGTAGCTGTTTCGCCGAGGGAGTCGCGCTTTGCCGAATTTTTTTGACATTTAMAAGGCTCGATAAATTTGTTTTTCTTCTTTTATTTTTTTTCACAAATTTGTGCAGTTGTGGTTTGTATAGTGATTTACGCATGATCAGATCCCGTGAGTCAGCTAATCAGATTGTACAATTTTCAAAATGTTTTTAAGTATATATGGCTTCAACTTTGAGTTCCTTGCTTTTCCGTACCATGTTTTACCGAGTAACTATATAGATATTCTSATTGCTGCTTGTATTTTTGTGTCCACCGTTATAATAGTGATATACTCTTTTGTTGTTGACGTTAATTTGATTGAAAATCTTTTATCCTATTTATAAGTGGTTTGTTGAATCAACCATGAATAATTTTTAAAACTTTATTCCAAGCTTTCCACCCAAGCGGTCATCTTCAGGGAACAC